ACCGAGAAATATTACCTTGGGTTAAGAACTTTGCTTCAGGATGAGAACAGAAATCATGCAGCGGTGGTGCGGCGGCAGCAGGAGACCCCATTAGCTAAAGTGGTGCTTCAGGTTAAGAACAGTTTCAGGTTAAGAACAGACCTCCAGAATTAATTAAGTTCTTAACCCGAGGTATTGGCTCTGGACACCAATATTAGCAAAGGTTGCAATCCTTCTTATACACTTACCCGGCAATGTCTCATTTATCTCAAGGGGACTTGCTTCTGATTAGACGAGCATTTGATTGCACTGTAAAACCACTGATACGAAGTCCTTTCCTAATCTACAGCCTGGTTTTATGCCTGTCTACTTGGAAATCCATCAAACTGAGGTCAGGATGACTTGCTACCACCAGGTAAATATGCAGAGGACTGCAGTCTTAGTTACTACTTTGCAATAGTTAAGGCTGTGGATGGATTTTTATAGTGTGCATTAAATTTTAAAGCCTTAGCCTCAATTAAGGTGTGTTTCTGTACATTTCATGGTGACAAGGACTTGTTTCGCAAGGACAGACCCTCAAATCACCATTCCGATGGGGTGAAGCAGGACTTGGAAGTGCCCCAAATTCGTAATGTGTATATGCTACAAATATAATGTGCTTTCTAAAAACACGGTTTAAAACTTCTGTTAAATACCCATACCTGGTAGGGAGCTGTGGAGATCCCTCTGAGGTTCCCTGCAATGTGTACCTATATCTGGTGGTCCATTCTCCCATTTGCATGGCAGCAGGGCTGGGGAACCTTCAGCCCAGAATGGGTCCCAATTTGGCCTGCAATTTCTTTCCTCCCAAGCAATGCCCACTTGCCCCACACCTGATGGCTGCCATTTGTGACATCAGTTATGGGACTGGTAGAAGCATTGCTCAGCTAATCCTTGCACCAAGCACAAGTCTAGGTTTGTCTCCATCTTTCTCCCTGCTGAGTTCTACAAGGGTGCCACTGAGGCTAACAAGGAGGCGGAAGCTGACATTCAGGGACATAGGTAGCGCTGTGGTCTAAACCACTGAGCCTCTTGGGCTTGCCCATCAGAAGGTCGGCAGTTCGAATCCGCACGACGGGGTGAGCTCCCATTGCTCTGTCCCAGCTCCTGCCAACCTAGCCGTTTGAAAGTACATCAGTGCAAGTAGACGGCCTAGGACCCTCATACCTACGGGACCGCCTCTCCTGGTATGTTCCACGGAGGACCTTACGGTCTTAAAACAAAAGCATCTTGGAGGTCCTGGGCCACAGGGAGGTTAGGCTGGCCTCAACCAGAGCCAGGGCTTTTTCGGCTGTGGCCCCGATCTGGTGGAACGCTCTGTCACAAGAGACTAGGGCCCCGCGGGACTTGACATCTTTCCGCAGGGCCTGCAAGACAGAGCTTTTCCACCAGGCCTTTGGCTGAGGCACAGCCTGACTCCCTCCTTTGGTAATCCTCATAGAACCAATGGTTGCCATTAATTTGATTTTGAATTGGTTTTAGAATGAATTGATTTTAGAATGCTGTGTTACTTTTATTGTTGTTAGTCGCTCTGAGCCCGGCTTCAGCTGGGGAGGGCAGGATATAAATAAAAAATTATTATTATTATTATTATTATTATTAGATAAATAGGTACCGCTGCGGCAGGAAGGTAAAGGTGTTTCCGTGCGCTCGGGTCCTCCATGTGCCAGTAGTGGTTTAGTTACACTGGCCCCATGACCCGGAAAGCTGTCTGTGGACAAACACTGGCTCCCTTGGCCTGAAAAGCGAGATGAGCGCCACACCCCATAGTCAAGTTTGACTGGACTTAACCATCCAGGGGTCCTTTACCTTTTTACCTACCCCCTGGACTGGATGTATTGTGAGAAAGATGGGAGCTGTCTGAGAGCAGACAGATTGGTGGGGCTGCTTGCCCTGGTGTAGTGCAGAGGGTCACTCAGCCAGCCATACCTCCTTCTAGGGTATTCATGGAGGATATCCACCCCAAACAAACAGCATTCCATGAGCGTGCTCAATCTTCATTGGCTTCTCTTGAAGTTTCCTCCTTCCTGAGGTTTGTGTCTGCTAAATATTTATTCTACTTTTGGGGGTTTATCCCAATCCTGCCGATACTGTACCTCCCTCATGTATGGCACCACTTTGGCCTCATAAGGATTTGCACTTGGATAATGAGCTCGCTGGTTTAATGCTGCTGTGCTTTGTATTTTATTTATAATTAATTTCCAATCTGCTGGTTTAATGCTGCTGCGCTTTATTATATAATTAATTTTTATCGCTTCTCGTTTTTTATTTGCTATTTTCAACGTGCTTTCATTTTATTCCATTTTCCCTGTCAGTCACTTTGGAAAGGGGGATCTCGGTCACAAAGCCAAGCGTACCATTTCGGAGGTTTAGCAATTGCTGTGTTTAGCAATGAAGCTGTAGTCTTTGGCAGAGAGAAAGAAGGCAAATATGTCGCAAAAGGCCAGATCAGCAGGGCCAGACAAACACAGACCAACATAAAAGGGACCCTGACTCCTTGACAAGCAGGCCACCTAGAGAGCAACTCCTCCGGTCCAATAAATATTTATTGCTTGTAGCCATAGGCATTTGCAAATTAGAGAAGATTAGATGGGAGCTGGAGCAGGTTTTATAGGGCTCCCAGTCAATTGATGTCGGGGGCAAACAGGTTGCTGAAAATCAAGAGAATGGCTGGCTGAGGCTTTTGCCTTTAGACCTGAAGGATTCTCCAAGGGCTCCGGCAGCAAACTTGCGTAGGTACTGAAAGAAAGTTCTGCCCAACTCTGCACCTCTGTCTCCCATTCCAAAATGGCTGGTACAGTTGGAACTGATGCAATATGAGCATGCTTGTATTAAACATGTGTTGGAGGAAGCTGCAGCTGCCAACATGATAAATGTGCTTTAAAGTCAAGGTTCAACACGATCCTGCTGACAGGAACACAGTTCGGTGCCTATACATCCCACTTCTGCCCCCCACCCCAGTCACAACCAGAGACACACTCTGCTCAACTCACTGATCAATTATTAGGGCTGCCACCTTATTTCTGTGGTGTTTTGCCACAGCTGCGGGACAGGCAAGCCAAATATCTCTCCATCTCTATCTGTTTAATGGTTGCAATTTTGAAATCCACAGGCGTCTTGCTGAAAAACTACTGTGCCAACCTTAACAGTTGTCCTTAACCATCTCCTTGCTGTGCCCACATTCCCTCCCCCCATTGACTTATTGATCTCTGCGCCAACTTCTGCCATACTGTTGGTGAAGAGGCTTTATAATGCCTGCCACTTTTCTGGTATTGCTCTTGTGCAAAAGCAAAATGGCCAACCCAGTTTCCTAGCTTGGCTTCTTCTTTAGAGCAAAATATTTACACTGCACAGGTAGTCTCTATAGCTCAGTCGGTAGAGCACGGGACTTTTAACCTTAGGGTCGTGGACTTGAGCCCCACGTTGGGCAAAATATTAATTAATGCATTGCAAGATTTCCTGCACTGGAGGGGGCTTGGACTTCATGGTCCCTTCCAACTCTATAATCCTAAGATTAAGGTAATAAAGCAACTCTGGTTGCTCATTGTTTCCTCTGCCTTTTCAGCTGATAAATGCTGCGATTAACATCTTTGACAGGAGAAAACATTTTCAGGGGACTTCTGGGAGTGTGGGCTAATCCACCAAGCTGACTGCAGAGGGTTCAAGATACAAAAGAGGAAGTCTCTAGAACCTAGGATGGGTTCTAGGTCAGGAATCCACTTGGCAGCCTGCCTCTTCAGAGAAAACTGTTTTCCCTAAAGGGAAACTGGTTGTGGTCTGCAACTGGAAGCAATAGCTTTGTGCATTGCATAAGGAATCCTGGGGACTGTAGTTTTGTTAGCGCTGTGATGGGTAAACTTACCATTGAATTGTAGCGCTGTGATGGGTAAACTTACCATTCTGGAAATGTGAGGGGTAAATTACAGCTCTTGGGATTCTTGGGGAGGAAGCCGTGTGCTTGAAATGTATGGTGCGCATGTCGGGAATGTCTGATTTCCCACCTTCCTGGGATATGGAAGGAGATCAAGGCAGGCTTCTAAGGATACCAATTAAAGTGTGGTTCTCTCTTCCTCCTACAAAGCTGAGTTGTTGCCTTTGCCTTTCAGTCGGCCAGCTAGTCTTGCTAGAGGACCACCATACTGGAAACAGAATAAGCAACTCCCCCCCCCCCCAGACCACTGGCATCTCCATGACTGCCACGGCTCTTACAGCGGCAGTCTCCATATAAGACGACTACCAATTCCTCTTTCACTCTTGTTTTGGAAGCGGTGGTGGAGACCATAGGAGCCAACTCCTGCAGGCTGAGGTCCCTTTGACCTTCCCCCCCCAATAAAATATGGGGGGTGGGCTCCCCCAAAGTGATGGGCATTGCCATTCAAATGGTGTGTGCGCACCGTATCATGTGATCAATTATGCCGGGTGGGGCTTGCCTGCCCCCGCCCCAGTATTTTATTTAAGTTGGCACCCCTGGTGAAGATGGGTGGCCTACTGCATTGTTTCTCAACCGGTAGCTATTTTGTTTGTAAATAGGACACGTTTCATTTATAATTTTTATAATCATGTAAATTATATAATTTCACCTGTAGCCCTCTTGGAATATCCGGGGGGGGGGGCAGGGGACCATATGGCCCCCTGGTTGAGAAACACTGGTCTACTGGAAGGAAGTTGACCGAGCCCCGGGGGTGGGGTGGCGCTTCCTCTAGTTCCTGAGCAAGCTTTTCCTCCGAGTCTCTTCTTCCCTAGGGAGACCCCTGGATCAGGGCCGTGTGAACGCGTTTTGAAAGGCACACGCTGCACCTACAAACCAAGCGCACTCCCTTTATTGATTATTGCAGGAAATGGCAACGGGGGTCTCAGTCGCTGCCAGTGTACATCTTTTTAGGAAGGGGTTGGGAAGCATCTTAGGAGCTGAAATCCTGCCCCTCGTTTACGGGGAGCTTCACCTCCCCTCCCACTACCCATCTCCAACGAAAGCCTGACGCCTCCTCGCCTCCGGCAAAGCCCCCAAAGGTGGACTCCGGCTCTCCACGGTTGCGCGTCGGAGGTGGCGCGCCTTTGCGCCGAGCGGGGCCCATTGATTGCCCGGGCTTGGGGGGAGTGGCCGCGGGTGGGCGACGACGAGAGCGCCTCCCCGGCTCGGCTGGCCACTTGGCACGTCGGAGGTGCAGCCGGCAGCCTTCCTGCGCCGCGTGAGCTGCATCTGCGCGCCAGCTTGCGAGCTGCTGCTGCTGCCGCCGCCGGCGCTTCCTTGGCACTCGCGTTTCCCTCGACGAGGGGCTCGTCCCGAAGCAGCAGCAGCCAGCCAGCCAGCCAGCCGCCGCCGCCAAGCGCAGGTCTGGCGCCCCCTGCACTCGGAGGCGATCTCCGCTCTGCTTGCAAGAAGTCGTTGGCTTTCCTTTTTTACCGGCGATCTGCATATATCTCTATTATACATGCACACACATGCAAGCAAGCGGGAGCGTGCGTCGAGGGCGAGGGAAGAATTTGCAGAAAGACGCCGAAATTGTGAGTGCTTCGCCTTGGGAAAGCGGTGGAGGGGGTGGGGATTGCCGGTGCGCGGCCGGGGGAAGAAGTCTTCGGAGGAACGGCTACAGGTGGAAACTTGGGTGGAAGGGGAAACCCTCGAAGGCTGTCCGGATGCGCTGTCAAGGGAGCTCCCGGACAACTTGCAGGCTGCAGCTGGGAGGGGGGCAGCGCTTGGAGATCCTGATGTTGCTCGTCTCCTCCTCCTCAGTGGGATTTGAGGTGGCAGCTGGCTTTGCTTGGGGACCTTGGGCTTCAGACGTGGGCGAACCCCGAGGGGCATCCATTTCCTCGAACTCCGTGGGCATAGTTTCTGGGTCAGGGATCCGGCTTGCGATTGTAGGCGCCTTCTGCTCGGGAGCAAGCAAACCCAGTAAATAGGTATAGGATTCACTTGCGTGCTTCTTTCTCTCTGCCTGAGAATCCAGTGCAGAATCCTCAGGAGCAACCTTGGGGTGGGCTCTCGCTGTCTGTCTGTCTGTTTTCTGAAGACGCTACAGAGGAAGGAAATCCCTTCCCTGCGAACATCTGCCTTAAAAGTCCGTGGAGATTTTGCTGTGGTACCCAAATCGGCATTTCTGACACTTGATCTCTGGAACAATGAAAGCTGCTCTTTCAAATCTAAATTTTATTTCTAGGATTGTGTCACCCACTACCTCCTCCTTCAGCACGTTGCCTTCTCCATCTGCTTCCCAACCCACTTCCATCTTTCCCAGTTTCACCCCCTTTAGCGGGGGAGAGTTTGTGCAGCGAGCCAGAAAACCCCTAGTTCAAATTCTGCCTCTGAGTGGTCAGAGGTTAAAGCTCGCTGGATCTCTGCCTCACTCTCTCATCTGCAGTGGAGGGGATATGGAGCAATCTTGCAGGGTTGTTGTATTGGTGTAATATTATGTAGAGCATTCTGAACACCCTGAATGTCTCCAGGGTTCATAATTCTCTCCCTGCATCTTATTAGCTCCACAAAGAGGGTGTGAGTGTCACAGGGACAGCTAGCGTAGTGGTTAGAGTGTCAAACTAGGACAGAGTGTGTGACCCTGTCTACTCAGAAGCAGCTCCTTCTGAATTCAGTAGGGTTTACTCCCAGGTTAAATGGAGTCAGGATTGCACCTTCTGCCAGTCACTAGATTTCAGCCTAGCCTACCTCACAGGGCTGTTGTGATGATAAATTGGCATGGCAGGGGATGGGTAGCAAGTACATCCCCATAGGCTACTGATAGTAGGAAAACTGATATATAGATTTAACCATAAAAAAAACACATTGTTTAAGAGTTGTCTCCAATGCTGGTCCTACTCAGAACAGAACCATTGAAATGAACAGATTTTAGTTAGCCATGTCCATTAACTTCAATAGGTCTGTTCCGAGTAAGGTAAAGGTAAAGGGACCCCTGACCATTAGGTCCAGTCGTGGCCGACTCTGGGGTTGCAGCGCTCAACTCACTTTATTGGCTGAGGGAGCCAGCGTACAGTTTCCGGGTCATGTGACCAGCATGACTAAGCCACTTCTGGCGAACCAGAGCAGCACACGGAAACGCCGTTTACCTTCCCGCCAGAGCGGTACCTATTTATCTACTTGCACTTTGACGTGCTTTTGAACTGCTAGGTTGGCAGGAGCAAGGACCGAGCAACGGTAGCTTACCCCCGTTGTGGGGATTTGAACCACCAACCTTCTGATCGGCAAGCCCTAGGCTCTGTGGTTTAACCCACAGCACCATCCTTAATATTAATCCATAATCTTCACTTCAATAACCCAAGTGATTGCAGTCATCCCATACGGGGATTGAACCTGCGACTTTGGTGTTAGAAGCGCCGCTCTCTAACCAACTGAGCTATTCATCCATTCCTTGGTTGTCTCTCTTCTGCCAGCACCCGGAACTGCCTTCTGACTCTGTTGAGAACAACAGGAGGAATTATGTGTGTAACTGGAGGCAGAGAACAGTCTCATTCCTGCAAAAGACCAAGTGACCCTCCCACGCTTACCCTCCCCACCTCAGTACCCTCCTGCCTGCACCATTATTTTATTTTCCTGTTTCAACATTTAATTTGATGAGGTCCACCAAAGAAATGAAAGGAGGGGGAAACAGGGGGCTTCCACACCATGAGGGATGGTTTGGACAGGTAGCTTCTCCTCTAATTAAGACCTCAAACTCCAACCAGTAACAGCAGCTCAACCATGGAGCTCACAGTAAACATAAAGGAAAGAGAGGGATGAATAAGATGCTAGGGTTTCAATCGTGTATGCAGGCTTAGGAAATCTGGCGTGAGGCATGGCAGTTCAGAGGAACTGTTGAAGTTGCAGGAGGGGGAATGTCGTTCTAATGAAGGTGGAAAGAAATCAAAGGAAACCAATTTGTTGTTGAGGTTCTCTCTCTCTCTCTCATACACACACCCACACCCCACTTCCCAGACTTAACACTGTGTGGTTTGGAATGACATTTCCTGCAATCTGCGGCAAACCGTAATAGCTTGTGGTTTATGTGTAAGGGCAAACAATTGTATTCAATAAGCAAAAGGCACAGATTCAGATATGATTGTTTGACCGTCATCCACCAGGAGTACGTCTGAGCTAGGACCTAAAAGCTTTAGGTTATGCTATAGCACTGAGTCCATCACACTTGGGGCTGTTTATTTCAGTGAGCTTCAATATGTTTAAGTCCATTGGATTGTGTCTCTAAGGGACTGGCTGTTCATTGATGAGCCGAAAGGGGGTGGGAAGAAACAAATCAAAGAGGAAACAATTGACTTCAGCATATCCAGTTATATTCTGAGATCCAATAAAGAGATGGTCCAGATCTCTGAAGACTGCATAGTTAAATATTTACATATAACGGCTGTATATTTTTTAAATAACAACAACAATGGAGTGTGTGGGATAACTGGAAAATTAGGGTAGTCAGATCCTCCCCCAAAATTGCTTCCGTCCCTTTCAATAGTTTTGTAGAAGATGGAATTTCCTACACCTGCTGAAATTTATTCCTTTATATATACATTTTACCCAGCTATAAGGAGTGCTGGAGCCATACCCTCTTTTTCACCTGGCTACCCTAGAATCAATAAAAGTGAATTTATTCATTTATTTTATTTCAGAAAATTTATATGCTGCTTGATTATAAGAAGAAGAAGAAACCCAAATTGGTTTTTAATAAAAGTGAATTGAAATGATATTGCAATACCCTTAACGATGCAGATGAGTGCTCTGGTCATCCCTCCTCAAAATCATCTAGGATAATTAGAAGTGCTGAGAGTTTCTAAAATGCTCCCTTTAATTAAAAGGATTAAACTGGGCAATTGAAAACATGTCTGCTCAGAAGTAAACCCCACTGAGTTCAGTGGGCTTATACCCCAGGTGCGTGTGGTTTTATTTTTTAATGTGTGGGATTGCAGCCTAAACGGGCTAGTACTTTCTGTAGAAAAGGGGGGGGGCAGCAAAAGGTGATTTCTGCTCCTCAGCTATAGAGCACAAAGATTTGAACTAATGTCCAGTGTGGTGGCACCCAGTGATTATTATTTTTTGTAGGGGAACAGTTAGAGCCAGAGGCACCAGCTTGTGAGGGCAATGGGTGGTGGGGGGGGTGGCAATGTTGTGACGTTTCATAAATGAGCGTCATGCTTCCCTCCCTAAGCCAGGCAAAAGCTTCCTGAGCTTTGGGAAGAAGGTGTCAAGCCTCTGACAGGATGCTGGAGCCTTCCTGCCTTCTTCCCAAAGCTGGGCAGGAGTTGGAAAAGTGGAGGAAGGGCTCTTGGACCCCATAAGTCAGGCGTCAGGGAATCTGATTCCCTCCTCCCATGGCAGGCTGCCAGGGATAGATAGACAAGAAAAGCTCTTACCAAGTCTTTTATTCAATATTCACAGAGAGAGGCTTAGAAATACTGCCTCTTGGAATAATGCCGTTGCTCCAAGTAATCTCCACCCCTTCTCAGTCGTCAACAGCACCACCCACCTTACGGTGGCTGCTTAAGGCCATTTGGCCTCTTCGCCCACCCTGATTTCTCCCCGCAGGTTGAGTGGCACAGGCAGCCCAATGTGTCCAGCCCAGACACAAGCCCCGCTTCCCCACTCTAGATCCTGAATGCGACCAAGTGCTCTGGACTCCCGAGCAGGGTGGGAAAGAGGACTCGCATCTGGTAGCCTCCGGGCTCCTCGCCTGCTCGAGGGATGGCATTGCAGGCAAGCTGCCGGCCGTCGCCATCGCCGCCCCCTCATGCGAGTGGACCTGCCCGGAGTGGTGGGCCGGGGGAGGCTCGCTCTCTGTGGGGATGTGGCCCGCACGCGCGGCCCCGCTTCCTCCTGCCCAGGGCTGAGCTCCTTACCCGCGATCTCGGTCTCGCGCACGCGGATCCCACTTATTCCGAAGCTCGCGCCACTAGCCGGGGCTCTCACACCGTGCCAGGGCGAGGCGGCGCGGCCTACTGACGTCATCGCGGCTCGCCGCCGCCCTCGACTTCCCTGTTCCCTCCCCTCCCTCGGGTCGCCGTGTGGCTCTTCGCTCTCTGCTCTACTACTTTCACTCCTCGCCGGGTTCTGGGAGAAGGGGGGTCTGGAATGTTTTCTAGTGATAACGTTGCAGCATGCTTCTCCCTCCTCCTCTTCCCCCATGATTTCCCAGCTTTGCCCCTCTTCTATCTCTGGGCCACAAGTTGTGACCTTCTGCAAACCCCTGTTGTAAATCTATACTGTCTTCCTCTTCTCTGGAAGGGGATGAGGATGTGGAGGTGGTTGCCATCATTCTTCCTCAGTCCAGTCCCTGACACCATAGGAGCATCAGGCCTCCCTTCCTAAGCTGTTCAGAACCTACTGGGCTTTGGGAAGCAGGCGCCAGGCTTTAATACTTCAATTCTCTAATTTTCCGGGAACATTTAGGGGACTAGCTTAGTCCCCTCTAGTCCACTGTAACTGCAACCCGCTAGTCCAGTGTAACTAAGACGCGGATGGGAGAAGAACTACATTTGACAGTGCAATCCTAGGCATGTCTAATCAGAAATAAATAACACTGAGTTCAGTGGGTGCCCAGTTGCAACCTGCATCGTGTTTTAGTCACCATTTGTGGTCTGCTCCAGCGAATGGCCACTTGCATGCATATACAGTACAGGTGCACATAAAATCACGCACAACTTTGAGGAATAAAATATGAGGATGTGCGTTTTTATTTTAGTTTTTAAACGCAGTGGAGAAGAGTTTGTGGGAGAAAGGGCAATACTCAGATCCCGTGGCTCGGCTGAGGAACGTAGAATTGGAAGTAGTGGCTCCGGTAAAGTTTCGTTGGTGTAGCTGAATATTACCACCTCCCCTTCCTTTCCCTTCTTTGGGCAGTTCTGCCTCAGCATAATTTCTATACCATGCCATGCAAGAGGGCAGGAGGGGACAGGAATGCTCTGCCCCTCCCCGTATTGATCAGAGTGATGCTCTCAACCTTGCACACCACTGTTGCAATGTTGCAATGCTGGCAGTGTGTATCGAGGAGGACTAGGTTCAAATTCCACCTAAGCTATATATTTACTTAGTGGCCTTGCACATGCTGCAGTCGTTTAGCATCTCCCAACAGCCCCACGATCTACCAAATGGAAAGTATCCGAGAGCCGATGAGTTGTATTAGCGAGAGAGTGAGGCTTGGATTGGAGAGACCCACTGAGCCAGGAATATCACTGAGTGGTCTTTGGCCAGTCACTTTCAACCTAAGCTACCCCAAGGGATCGTTACGACAATTTAGAAAAAGAAAAGCCAAGTAGAACAACTCCACGTATACCACATCGAGCACACAGTTCCTGGAGGAAGAGCTCTCTATAAATGTGATTAATAATAATATTGGCCTACCTTACAGGAAGGGACGCGGGTAGCGCTGTGGGTTAAACCACAGAGCCTAGGGCTTGCCAATCAGAAGGTCGGCGGTTCGAATCCCTGTGACGGGGTGAGCTCCCGTTGCTCGGTCCCTGCTCCTGCCCACCTAGCAGTTTCGAAAGCACATCAAAGTGCAAGTAGATAAATAGGTACCACTCCAGCGGGAAGGTAAACGGCATTTCCATGCGCTGCTCTGGTTCGCCAGAAGTGGCTTAGTCATGCTGGCCACATGACCCAGAAGCTGTACGCCGGCTCCCTCGGCCAGGAAAGCGAGATGAGCGCTGCAACCCCAGAGTCGGCCACAACTGGACCTAACGGTCAGGGGTCCCTTTACCTTTACCTTACCTTACAGGACTGCTGCAAAGATTACTGGGATAATGTGTGTGAAACACACACATAAAGTACTATAGGAGATGTTAAGTGATGGTGTGGTTAAAGACTATGGAGGACTGGGGCCCCTTGGCTGCATCGTAGGAACATAGGAAGCTTGGATATTGTGTCAGATCATTGATCCAGCTACCTCGGTGTTGTCCACACTAACAGCAAGCAGCTCTCCAGAGTTTTGGGCAGGAGTCTCTTAAGGCCAACTCAGTGGGCCACATTATCTACTTGAACCTAAGTTGGCATTGTTTTTCAGTCTGCATGAGCAGTCGCAGGACACAGCTATTAGTCTCTGGGCTAGTCATTAAGACAAGAATGATTAACACAATGAAAGAGCAACCCATGTATTTCCCTGTGACATTGGAAGAGATGGATCGTTGACACCCCACCAGCATTTGAAATTTGCAGGCACCAGGTGCATTTTGCACCTGACTATTGCCCATATCTGACCAGGTGAAGATGCCTAGGTGCCTAATATCTCCACCATCTGGAGGTGCCTGCCTGGGGATTGTTGAATCTTGCCTGTTTTAAAACTCTAACAACACATCCTGCAGAATTCTACCCGTGATATTTTACCTGTGCAATCGGAACAAAAAGTCATATTGAAAAATACGACTTTTGGTCCCCAAATGACAACTAGACATTCTGTTTTGGTGGCTTAAGGTGTCATTTGGCACCTAGCTTATATATCTGAATTTTCTAACACTGCACCCCACCCACAGTTGGGCAGTTCTGTTCAAAAGAAAGCCCAAGAGCCTTTGGGAAAGGTAGCAGCCGATGAGTTTGCTCTGTCTCTGATAACAGAAAATTGGTCTGATGCAGTAAGCCATATGAAGTTGGTATAACAGCGTTTCTTCCTTCTTTGGGTTCCAGATCCTCCCACATTGCCTTGGACCACCCTGACCCAATCGACATGAGAGGGTTTCTTGCCTGAAGAGTACTCTTTGCCCGTAACAACAGCTGCACCATGGGCCTTGAGAATGATTTGCCCAACACCACAGCCTTCTGGTTCCCCTCGCCATCTCAGTTTGACAGCTTCCCCCCAGAGACTCCTGCCGCCAACACCTCCATCAACATCACAAGCCCCCACTATGACTTGACTAGCAATGCCATCCTCACCTTCATCTACTTTGTGGTGTGCATTGTGGGCCTCTGCGGCAACACTCTGGTCATCTATGTCATCCTCCGTTACGCCAAAATGAAGACGATCACCAACATCTACATACTCAACTTGGCTATAGCAGATGAACTGTTCATGTTGGGGTTGCCTTTCCTGGCAATGCAGGTAGCTCTGGTTCACTGGCCCTTTGGGAAAGCCATCTGCCGGGTCGTCATGACAGTAGACGGGATCAATCAGTTCACCAGCATCTTCTGCCTCACAGTCATGAGCATTGATAGGTACCTTGCTGTGGTCCATCCTATAAAATCTGCCAAGTGGAGGAGGCCAAGAACAGCAAAGATGGTAAATGTAGCTGTCTGGGGCATCTCCCTTCTGGTCATACTACCCATCATGATATATGCTGGAGTGAGCAATAACCACGGGAGTAGTAGCTGTACCATGATCTGGCCAGATGAGTCTGTTGCTTGGTATGTTGGCTTCATCATCTATACCTTCATCTTGGGCTTCTTGGTGCCCCTCACCATCATCTGCCTTTGTTACCTGTTTATCATCATCAAGGTCAAGTCTTCTGGCATCAGGGTGGGCTCCTCCAAGAGGAAAAAGTCGGAGAAGAAGGTCACCAGGATGGTCTCCATTGTCGTTGCCGTCTTCATCTTTTGCTGGCTTCCCTTCTATATCTTCAATGTCTCGTCAGTCTCTGTTTTGATTGAGCCAACACCTGTCCTCAAGGGCATGTTTGATTTTGTAGTGGTCCTCACCTACGCCAACAGCTGTGCCAACCCCATCCTTTATGCCTTCTTGTCCGACAACTTCAAGAAGAGCTTCCAAAATGTCCTCTGCCTTATGAAAGTCAGCGGCATGGATGAAGCCGACAGGAGTGACAGCAAGCAGGACAAGTCTAGGCTAAATGAGGCCACAGAAACCCAGAGGACATTGCTCAATGGTGACCTTCAGACAAGCATCTGAAAGATCTCTGCCCACTCATCTCCTCCCTGCTTCTTCACAGAAGCCCACAGCAAGTCAGCATAACGGCCTTTGGTCCTTCTTTCAAGGGAATGGTAATGCATGCGAAGGATTGGTTCAGGGGACAGACTTGCTTCTTGGCCAACAGCAGGCTGGTTTTAAGGATATTAATCGAAAGGAGAAGTATATTGTGGGAGCGATCGACTAGAAATAGTCATAAATGTGTACACACTTGTTCATGCATGTTTGAATACAAGGGATGATGCAGCATTGGTCGTACCCCTGTGCTAAATCCATTTGAATTAATTTGAACTTTTTTTAAAAAAAACAACAACCCTTCACGGGTCAGATTTTCCACACAGGGTCTAGAATTTCAAAAGCTCCATCTCCAATATTTGAGTTAAATTATTAAAAGAAGAACTTGGCTGACACACATAGACACTGGAATAAGGATGAAGGTGATAAGTATTCCACAAGTTCACATACTGAATTATATATATTTTTTATCAAGCTAGCCTCTTTGCAGCCATCACCACCCCTTCTAAATGATAGGTACTTTGAAAGTTTAGCTCTATGTGCTTTTCAAGTAGGCAAAACATTAATCTCATATGTTTTATATAAAATCAAAAACTCATGAGATATTGGGAGGGAGGGAGGGTGTGGTGGTAAATGAGTAATTGAATTATATTGCTCTTCTTGTTTATGGAACAGCTAATGAAATGAGGTCTTCAGAGATGGGATCAGAAAACTTCATAGCCTGAATAAATAAGTATAAAGCATGCTAATAGGATGACAGAGAGACTTGTCTCTAACTGTAACGAGAGCCCCTTTCCATGACTTCAAAGAGATGGCAAATATGTTGTCATCCCTCCATCCCTTTGCCTCCTACATAATGGTTTCCCCAATGAACAATCTTTGGCAGATAGGAATGATGTTATCAGAGTCTGAGAGCAGATATCCAGCATCTGAGTCCAAAAGCCACAATATGTTAACTTTGCCACCCAAACGTCACAAAGTCATCAACGAGCTTTTGAGTTCACCAGAACTCTTCATCAGACTGGATCTTGCTCACAGTTTTGTGACATTTTGGCTGGTCCTAATAGAGGTATTAATGTGTTGTGGATTTTGGATTCCCCTCCCCCCAATGCATCAACATGGCTGTGTACAATTTTTGTCAAAACCAGGATCAGAGACGGGTGAGAATGCATACCTCGTTGGTCTTGCATAAGTGAAATAGCCATCACAGATCAAACAACAGAGGCAGGGCTTTAACATAATTTCTGCTTGCCACCTTTACTTTAACCAGTAAAAAATAAAATAAAAACTGGCCTGGACACTGAAAACAAAACAACAACTCTCCAAAACCAACCAAGCAACCAGCTCTGTTGCAACTTCAGGTCACTCAAGGAAGGAGCCTTTATAAGTCCTCCCCGGCCCCTACATACCAAGAAGGTGTCTTGAGTTTGCCACTGACAGAGGACTTTAATGTACTAAGGACACCGTGGTTGGGAAAAGCCTGAGCATGGCTTCCATTTCAGAATCTATAACCTCGTGGAGATTGCCCGAGAGCTTAACTTGCACTTGCTGAGAGAAGAAAGAACGAGCCTTTAAGCCTACTTAAAAACAGAGTGGTCACATATAATAAAAGCTTGAGACGGGGGTGGGGGTGGAGAAAGAGAAGAGTCGGGCGAATTGCTTTAGTAAGCAACCAGGAGCCAATTTCATCATCCTGTTTTTCCCCCTCTCATTGTCCCATTTCCACAGTGCCCTGGCCTATGATGCCTCCTTTTGCTCCTCCATTCAAATGGATGGATCACCATGAATCCCACACCCCCACACAATTTCGCCAAGGTTTACATGCAGAGCAAAGTATGCAAATTGAGCCCACATGTGCATAAATGTCCAATTTCTAGAGTTTTTGTTCTCCTAGTTCAAGGTTTCCTGGCTGCAGAAGCTGACTTGTTTGATGAAGAGTAGTTCTGGTTCTCCCGCTACCTGTCCTCAGCAGAAGAGTTTGTCTGCGGGGCTATTTGCACTGTTGTCAGTATGTTTTGGGGAGTTTTAAGTGTAGACTATTAAGTTTTATGACCTGGGAGGTTTAAAGAGCTCTGCCCAGGGAAGGGCATTATGACAGGGTTCCAGATGGCAAGCGACTCCCACAACTTCTGTCTTGGGCTGTGATTTTTACTATTGAGCACAGGCAAGCAGAGCCACGACTAGAGGAGCCTGATGAAGGAGTTGGCAGGAGCTGAGAATTCCCTGCTTTACAGTAAATTGTTTCATTTATCACAAATCTCTGATTGATTAAAAAGAAACAGAAGGAAGAGCCCACACCATCAGGCTATTAGAACAACAGGAGGAGCATTCTGGCTCTGCCACCCTAGCCTTGTTTTCAGTTCTCATCGTCTTGAAACTTGTGGAAGGTGAACTTCTGCAATGGAAAACCTTTTGCATCAGCAGCGGTTGTTCCCGTTGCATTTGAGACCCCTGGAAAATCAGGGATTCGAAAATGCATCAGCAGACACTATGGAGAAAGGCAACCAAAATGAAGCCGTCAACTCTAAAATACATTATTGCAACAATTTCTTAGTTGTTTACAGAGTGATCCAAATGCCTCTTGCACCAGGCTGAGATGAGGCGGTTTGGATTGGGCAGAGATGGCTTTTTTTACACAGCCCTGCCACCCTCTGCCTGCAGAGTCATGCCAGCACCAGTCTGCTGGCGCAGAGCTCTCCCTTTTGCCCGCTGAACTGCCACTGACGGGCACTCTACTGGTGGCAGCCAGCGGAAAGATTTCAACCACTTTCAGCCTCAGCCAGCATGCTTGCTTGGGCTGTTGATGTGGCTCCGTCACTCCACTCCTCAAAGGCACCCTAGACAGCAGCTGGGGTTGAGATTGATGTTTCCAGCTCTTCAGCTGCAATGCTGTTCATACTTACTTGGAAAGTAGCCCCTCCTCCCACCAAACAGAGTGGTACTTACTTTTGAGTAAATGTAAGTAGGCTCCTGCGTTATGGATCCTTCAAGTGAAGAAGCTTCTGCTCCTGTTCATGCCTGCATTTTAGGCTGCACATTCCTGGGAGCAAACCCCATTGAACTCAGTGGTACTTATTCCTGAATAGGCGTACACAGGAGGAATTGCTCTGAAAGTGCCTCTGAAGCTCTCGCACTGTTATTTGGGCACCTGTTGACTGTAGTTAATGCAAACAGGGTAGACAGGAGAAGAGAGACATTTAAAATCAAATGTGTACCCCAGCCAGTTTGCATCAGCCGCAGGCACCGATGTAAGCCTTGGTTTGGTATTTATTTTCACCCCCGATATGACATATGGGAAAGTTTTGACTTCCCAGGCGTGTATTGTCTCTTAAATATAACATGAGAAATAATAAATAATCATATCCCATTTTTACATGACTTTTAAAAAAAACCAGGAAGCTTTGGAAGTCAGATCCTGCATGCCCTAGTAGAAATGGTAAAACCCCACATATGTCTTCATTCAGGCACTTGCTTGCATTACAAATTCCTCCCCACCATTTTCTCTTCTGGGCGGATAGCAAGATATAGATAAGCAGCTTAAGAAAGGCTGGGTTGTGACTTTAGCCTTACCAGTAAAACTCTCCCTGTTCTTGTTGAAAATGTAAATGACATTTTGGAGCCTAAGAAACAATGTGGTTTGATTAAACTCCTTTGGCAGAAAGTGTTGTTCAGCCACAGGGGTAAGAAACTTGGTGCTGTTGGGCATCAACTGCAGCCAGACAGGGTGATGGGAATTGTAGTGCTGCCACATCTGGAGAGCACCAGGTTCCCCACCAGAGCTCTGTCCTTCAGCCCCAAGCCAACCTTCCAACAAGCCCAGTTGCCCCAGCCACCACTCCTCCTTCTCCACCCACACCTCATGTCCAGGTTGTCTCTTGTTACTCCTAAGGGGCTTGGCTTAGCTTGGTGTTGGAAGTCTTAAGCGAGGCTGCAGGAGTATTCCTTACAGCTACAATACTATCACTGCAGCTTCCTCTTGCAAACAAGCAAAGCAGAGGGGTTTCTCCTCCATCCAGTGCACAATATCTTACCACATTTGGTGCCTCATGCGGTGGAATTATTTTATTATCTCTTTCGGTCTCAGAGGATGTGCATTCTTAGATCTTCTTTATTAAGGGAAGTAAATATTAACTGAGGCTTTGTGGCGACTGTGTAGAATATGCCAGTGAGGATTAAATGGGAGCTCAGCACATTACATTAAGATGAAAAAATCGCCTTGTGGCTGCTAGGTGCTGATAAAGGCGCTTTCTTTTTATTAGATGATGGCTTAATGTTGTGGCCACAACATTGCGTCAGAATGGCTTTAGTACTTTAGTAGGAAGTGGGTAACACAGGAGCGTATTTGCAGAGAGAAAGGAGGAGTTTTGCTCCACCATTGGCCTGACTACTAAAATACAGCCATGCTCTCCTACTCAGAAATTTGCACATAATCATTTTATGTTGCATACAACAATCAAATGGCCTGGTGTGGCTACCCAGAAGGCGAGAAAGATGGAAGACCTCGTGTTGTAGTATGTGGAGTATACTGGCAGCAACAGAAAGATGGGGTGTTGGTTCAGGGATGAATAAGCAAAAGCTTAGATGACCCCTGTCCGAGGGGAAGGGGGAATTCAGTGACAGGCGCACAGCAGAGCTGGGAGTGATAGAACCTTGCAAGTACAGCTGGCTTGTTTCTCAGTCAGAAGGGGAAAGAGGCTCTGGCAAGCCAGAATGGATGGAAGAGTTGTTAGGCTCGGAGGTCAGAAAAGGATGCCAGTTTAATCATTCACTGAAAGAACCTGCTAATATTTTAATCAGGTGCTTATGCATGGTAAATGCTGATCTTCTATACAACTCTGTAAAGCACTGTAGCCCTTTTGAAAAACCGGTGAGCTCTATGTGGATTGTTCAGTTGGCCAGCCTGGGCACATTTCACTTCATGCATCCTTGTTGTGCAACACAGTAATACCAATGATGTTTGTCCATTCTGTAAACCACACTTGACTTTGGGGGATCTCACTAGACTGCGGTCATTTCTGTGATTCTGTACTCAGAAGACTTCCATTGAAAGTTTTCAAGTCAACCAGGTTCAAAGCATTTTAATCTGTTGTTAATCTCTGGCAGTTGAAATAGTGGGAACCCAGGAGCTGCTTCTCCCACACAATTTCTTTATGGCAGTCTTAACAATAATATTATTTTGATCTCCAATCTGGAGAGATCAAGTACTAGCACTCAGTGTTCATGGCATATCCATATAGAGTTTATCTGCCAAATATTCCCAAAATGCCCACAAAGCTCTTTTGTGCTGGTGGCATTTTTAATTGCTTGGGGAATTAAAGATAGTGGTTTCACAGCCCACCCATTTCCTGCTGTGAAGGATTCCTTAGTGGCTATCACTTTTATATATCACACCTTATTTCACTTGGACCTCACAGCTGAATTGCTCCCAATAGAGTCCTCCTTCTCAGAAACATATAACGGTCAAGAAAAGTTTGTCCAAAGAACATTCAGTACTTTTAGATCTCTAGCATCCTCTAGCTGTGTGGAGAGAATAGCATCCTTGTTTCCTTTAATAGCATGCTCACCTTGCCACACCACTGCTTTTCACTATAAGGGCACTTCCAGGTGACTTGCTAACTGAGATTTGTTTGTAAGGAGATCAGATAGCGTTGGCTGTTTTATTGAGCATTCTTTCCAATTTGTTTGCAGGGAGGGCATAGATGCAGTTGCAGCCAAAAGAATAATATGTAATATCCTACCCTTTCCTTATTGCAAATAAGGCTGTTCTTCGGGGGGGGGGGGTGGGTTTGTTGCACAACCATTGCAAATCAGCTTTAATGGTGCAACCTGAATTTGCCAATATGTGATTGAATCCCACCCCAAAATAGCAACAGTCAGGAAACATACAAAGAGGAAAGCATATGTGTTCATATCTTTTTGGAAGTATCAGGAAAAGGAGGCCAGCTTTAAGTGTTTATTTAGGTGGTCACCTAATGAAATATTCACTGCCCTGCCTCTCTCTCTCCCCCCCCCCCCCCGCATCCATTCTCCTTTGAGAATTTAAAGGTCTGAACGCGAAATAAGAATCCTTAGCGATGTATTAGTCCTATCTATGATTCCTTTAGGGCAGTGTTTTCCAAATGGTATTCCAGGGAACTCTGGGATTTTCTGCAGGTTCCTGAATTAGAAGATCAGTAATAGTGGGCTTGCTTCTCTAGAAGATAGGGAGTGGTAGACAAGCCATCTTCCCCTTCATTGTGCAATATCGGTTTGCATCTCACTGGGTTTTGTTTCAAGTTTGTTGGTGTAGGGTCATTGTGCAAAGCTCTTGTTCTTATGTGGTGGGACTGATGAAAGGTATGCACGTCTTTGATTTAGGACTGAAAGGGTGACATATGCACTAGACAGCAAGGCTCCTGCATCTTTAGCCAATTTTTCTATATATAAGAAAAAATTAGCAGGTGCATCTTTTCTCAGTTTTGGACCAGAGAGATGCAGAAGGCTGCAGAAGCTGCCCAGATGTCCCCATCAGTTCCACTGGTACAGGAACCCAGTCCTCTAAATTGCACCTGGCCACCTTTTTAAACTAAACCTCTATATAATTTTCAGATTATAGTGTTAACAGACCCCATGGATCTTCTCATCCAATATGTTGTTCAAACAGGACATGAATATATTCATTTTACATATTTATATTCTGCATAGAATGTATTTAAGGTAAATATATTTATTCTATATATTTATAGTCTATTTAAGAATATATTTATAAAGCGTCTCTATCAGATTCTTGGCCAACTTTTTCTTGGAAACCTGAAAGAAAGGAATCCTGCAGCTTTTGCCAGGGCACCTTGGAAGAAGTTCAGCATTCCTGGATCTAATGGAACCTCAATTGTTGGGTTTGAATCTCTCTTCTTGCAGTTGAAAACCAATGGTTCTTGTCCTATCCTTGGTGGATAAGTGAGCAGCTGATTTCCATCTCCTTTTCTAAGATCTTTTTAAACATCTGAAAACTGCTAGCTGATTTTAGCTTGTTCTCACCAAATTTGTTTTCTAGACTAGAAAGATAACTTAGCGGTCAATGCATCCAGATAAGCCTAAAAGAGACGCATGGGAATAAAACATTTGCTTGGTTCCAGCTTACTTTTCTCTCTTTTCCTCTTTCAAAGTTCAAAACTGAAAGAAGAACAAACTGATTTGTGCGACACCTCCCAGTGTCCTGCTAGACACCCAGCTAGTGTGTCTGTAGTGTGGTGTAGTGGTTAAGAGCGGTAGTCTCGTAATCTGGGGAACCGGGTTCACGTCTCCGCTCCTCCACATGCAGCTGCTGGGTGACCTTGGGCCAGTCACACTTCTTTGAAGTCTCCCAGCCCCACTCACCTCACAGAGTGTTTGTTGTGGGGGAGGAAGGGAAAGGAGAATGTTAGCCGCTTTGAGACTCCTGAAGGGGAGTGAAAGGTGGGATATCAAATCCAAACTCTTCTTCTTCTTCTCTACTTAGATGTCCCCAGATAATAATTTCAGTTTATTCATTCGCAAATGACTGCTTTAAAACAAAGTGATTTCAGTGCTAATTGCAAGTTTACCTCTAAAACCAATAGGATTTAAAGGTGATTAACCTTAGCTGCATCATTCCTCCCAGCTGCCAGCCAAAGCCCTCTTTCGCAGAGCTATCAGGGTGAAGTTAAGTGCAGCAGAGACAGTTTGACAATGCCTCTGGTGCACCGTAAACAAGTGCACATTATGCTCTGTTGTAGTAAGCTTTTTGTGGCAAAAACCCAAAAGTTCAGCTGATGAGAGTTTTAGTGCAGCAACACACTGCCTATCTTTGGCCATGGCATTAGTTTAAAAACCCTCCCTTCTCCTTGGAAAGCTTTTGCAAACTTTTCTGTGTACAATATTCATGATCTGGAGGAAGAGGGAGGTGAGAGGAAAAGATGGAGATGAATGGGTTTCTTCCTGTTTTCCCAGGGCACGCCAGCTGAGCATAGGAAGCTGTGCCAGTCCGGACTATTTGACCATCTGGTCCAGGATGGTCTATTCTGAGTGGTAGAAGATCTCAGAGCCAGGGCTCTCATGCCACCTGTTTGCCTGATCCATTAAAAAACCCCACACAAGGAGAGATGGAAAGGTTTGAACCTGGGTCATTCTGCATGCTCTCTACTACTGAGCTATGTGGCCCCTCCCAGTGAAAGAGGCCCAGGCTTCCCTGCAGCTTTCACCTTAATATGTTGAACAAGCTAAAACGTTGATCATCTCAGGACAGCGGTCCTCTTTCTTGCTGACTAACCATACCTGTTCTGAGTTTTTGCTTGGCTTTCTCAGTTGCCTCCTCTCACCTTGAGCCAGTGCATCTCTTTTCTTGAGCCAGTGTGGTGTAGTGGTTAAGAG